TATCGATATTCTACATCAAACACTTTTAATCTTGAACATTTTCTTTTACTGTTTATGGCCTGTTTGCACTGTGTTGAATCAATGACTGATAGTTACTGCTTTAGCATCAGTCATCCATGTCCGTTAGATCACTTTCAACCGCATTGCTGTGAGATTGAATTTGATCAAACCTGGAAATCATCCTTGAATATGGACATTATTACCGAGCACACACATAATAGTCTTATTGATCAGCTGAACGAATTCTTTACGAAATGTACTTGTCGATACCATGTTATACCTAAGAAATGCATATTTCAGACGATTATTTTGGCAATAAAAAATCAAGACTTACAGATAAAAACTGATGCTACAATCAATATATAAGAGTTGTCGCGTAATTTGAGAAATCAAATTGTCAACAGCTGATTGGTAAAGACTTTTATCGAAATCGACTGTGAATGTTGCGTAGAGTTTTTGAATAGCATGAGGCAATGTACATATAATTGTGACGATCAATTGAATGGAAAGCATCACAAGTAACTGTCGATCTTTTTTGTGCAATTGATTTGGGGACGCTGTCGTGCTGTCGATGGATGTGGCCGAAATGCTTCGAACACGCACTTGGCGAAGATTATGCAACGTGGCGAGTCCGATAATTATCATTAGTATAGGTGGTAAAAAGCTGAATGATGCAAAGAAAAGAAAATCGTAGAAGAGTCGATATGTTCCAACTCGAGCATAACAATAAGGACCCGATGTACGTTGTTCTATTTCAAAGAAACCAAGAACATGACTATAGACAATCAAACAAAGACAAGTTGCTACGATCGCTGAACGATGTGCTGTTGACAAATTGTTGAAACTACGAACTTTTCTATTGTAAGAAGTAATGCAGAAACGATCGACACTGGCTAAAACAAGGAACCATGTCGAAAGTGTCAGAGATGGATGAAGAATCATATAACGAATGCGACATAAAGCCAAATTGTTACCAATCACATCAATGCCGAAGCCATCCATCATTGAACGAATGAGCGATCCAAACAATAATACACTTACATTCGAAAATGTTGCACTCAGCAAATAGATAGTGCACGGATTGCTGATAAGCGACCGACGAGTAAATATAATTATGTTAAAAATATTTCCAATGAGACCAAGAAAGAATATTATTAGAGGCGTAAATCGTGTAAATTGTACTGTTATTTCATTAAGTGCAATGGCAGTCGACATTTAAGATAATGATGTATGAAGAATGACTATTGTCAGAATGCTATCAACGTAACTGCCTATTTGCTTTAGAAAAATGAAAAAAACGAAGGAATGAAATTGTTTTGTTGTTTATTTATAATGCATTTGCTAGCTATTAGCCACCTTAACTAACATAGCAGGTCACATTCCTTTAAAGAAATTTCTCAAATACGACATACAAAACAAGACTGACGTTATTCGGTGATATTATGTCGCCCTTCATTTGATCACTTCGGATGCTTACAAAGAGTTCTTCAACCGAACTTCAATAATTAGCTATACAGTGTAATTTTTCCGCATCCATAGAATCAAACATGATATGTGAACACTTTGAGAGAAGTTTAACGGTGGCTAATCAGTAAACTCCCCATTGTGAACAGACAAAAAAAATGGGAATCAGTCTGTAAAAGGAATAGTATTTTTGTGTTGTGCTTTGAAATGAAAGGTGATAGAAAAATGATGCCAAAATAAGATATCTAACAATGTCTCCACTATCAAATGGTATGTTCATATTTATTTTCTTTCAATATGACATTAGAGATAAAAAAAATTATTGTGACGCACGAAAATTTTTTCCTTCATATTTTAAATGCAGTCATTGAGTACTAGTTAAGTCATACGGCTATGCGTTAAAAGATATTATTTAATATTTTTCTCTTTATTTGACTTTTCTATCACAAGATCAACATCAATAAGTAAAGTCATGAAAAATGTTTCATGAGGCTGAATCCTATACAGCCAGGATAAATCTTTCTCAAATAATTTTAAAAACCAAATTTACAAAAAAGTTGCTCTTAAAAAGCATTCGAAATCTAGCCGAAACTCCTACCAACTAATTATCCATCATTGATTGACACCACTGAAAAATTAGTACTGTCGATTGAAAAATGGATGAATATTGGACGGAACTTTTGGGCTGTGAGAAAATTATTTGAATCCTGCAACAAAATCTTGCATTTTATCATTTAAACATGTTTATCATCAACGACCACGTCAGTTCGTGCACGCATCATTGATGAGAACTGCAAATAAGCTCTTCAGCTATAAAAAAAAAGTTTCTGAAAGTCCAAAGAAGCTTGTTTCACTGTATTGCTAAGAACTGATAGTCGTTCATGTTTAAGGATGGTTTGATGCATAATTCAACAGGAAAGTATAAGAAGACGCTTTTGTATTTAGAGAAATTGCTTAAAATCATGCGAAATTCGGTACCACTTAATTGTCGGTTATTGTTGACTGCCAAGCGTACTATTGATTTTGAATATGATCTTATAATAGACTCTAAAAACTCTTTCTTACTATCAAAAGGCACTTTCAATTTGTCACAATCGCTAGTGATTGTATCATCCAGCGACAACGAATAGTTCCAACAAATTTGGCTTAGTAGATGAAACATGAGACAATCACATGAAACAATTTTGGATCAATGAGACAGTAATCGCTTCCATAAAACAATCATCAATTTCAGTGCTGTGGTATGAAAGCAACATAGCATGAAGTTGTAATCTCTGTTACTTCCTGTCATTCGCAGTTGAGCTCGGCATATTGTAGCCTTGCTTAAGTGTATCATTTTATGTGGAAATGTTTTAAAGGAACTTAAAGACTAAGTCGATAAAACTACAAGTTGATTCGCATATGACTGATGAAATATTCGAAAGTAAACAACATTTTGTCATCATGGATCCTATCTCAAAAGAATTTCAATCAGCAAAATATCAGTATCAAATTCTGTAATCGAATATTAGATGATAATACTCGAAAATGCTATGCGCTGTATTAAATTCTTTTATCTTATGTAGCGCTACATAGTTTACATGATTAAGATCAAAGCAAGTGTCATTATTGGCTACATCAAGCGTTCCTCTAGGCTCCTTTCTCTCATGAAAAGTTCAAAGTCAATTTTACTCGTTTCTTTGTTCTCCCTCTAGATTAGTTCATCATTCACTGAACATCAGAAAACTGTACGCAAAAAATCTATTAATTATCTAAGTTGAGATAAAAAACTTCCGAAAGAATTGCAATAATGAGCAACTGTTTGCTGTATAAACACGAGTATATTCGCTAAAACTTGTTGTATGCCTATCGAGATGTCATCGTACAACTACGTAGATCAAATAATGGACATCATTATGCATTACGTACATTGGCTTGAGAGGTCGAAACCTGAAGGTGAAGGTGTGGCATGATGCGTGAGGATTTTCTGTTCACTCTCACAACGACACATTCATAGCCTGAAGACAAAAGAAATAGATATTTGTCTACAACGCGCAAGATTCATATTTTTGAATGTATACACGCAATTGATGATGTCAAGCAATGTTTTTCTCACACCGTATGTGAATATAAATTCAATGGAAAATATTATCAGCTACTGTAACAAATAATAGATATTTCATTAATAAATACTCGATGTCATTAAAGTAAACTTGTCAACAAAAGACTTGTTTTGCATGGCACACCATGGAGTGTTAATTGTTGAACATATTTTTATCTACGTTTGCGACAGATGATGGATGATAAGATAAAATAAAAAGCGAATTTCATTTATGAAAATGGGTAATAGCTCAAGCCAAACTGTTCGTCGTCATCATGAGATTGCAGCTAGTCTCTATCGATTTACTTTTTCTCCTTTGAACAATTTTTCGTCTTATGGGCCATATACGTGATATAATTATATTTACTCGACCAAAGCTTACAGAATATTTCAGAAGTCCAGCATGAGAAAAATGATGAATAGATCTGGTAGCTGCACACCTAAAGAACATGACTCACAGGAATAAATACACAGTTAGAAGTTTGCAATTTACAGGTGCAACTTAAATGTCTCATTTTCTTCATCTTCTGGATAGAGTATCAGAGTGTGGGATGTGGGTACGTCACTTAGTGAAGAAAAGTCCACACCCACGCCCACACCTTAGATATTCAATTCCTATAAATAATAATTTTTATGATGAAAATAAGATTTTGTTCTAATCTATCAGTATGAAGCCGATTCACAACTTGCAACAATGTAGATCATTCTAGCATGAAACAGACTACAAACATATAACATGTTAGAATCATGTAAAAACCATCGGATAACTATAGATTTTATCTTTTACATGAAAAAATTTGTATCGAAATCATCTGAACATCATTGTGTGATAGAAATTTTATCGCTACATACCATAATGTTAGTATAGAATTTGATTTTCCTTTCAGAAGGCAATTTAAACAGTCCATTATAAATATATGGCATTATATTGAGAGAAAACAATCATTAAAATAATGGAAGATAAAAACATAGGAGAAGAAAAAGTATTTTTAATAAGAAGAGCGTGTAAATTCGGTGCTGATACAATAACCAATCATACTCGTAACTTCGGAGTACATGTTATAGGTTTGCTCAAGTCGAGAGATATAAATCTGTACAATACCAATAAACATATTTTGTGTGACACATGCATTTCTGTTAAACTGTAATTTGTAATTTTTATTGTTAATTTCTTCATCTTTCAAGATCAATTATGAATTTTCATTTTTATTTCGAACAATAAAAATTGCATCAATTAAAGAATTCAAAATGATCGCATCTGATATTGATTGTTCCTTCGTATTTCATCATTCATGCAATTTAACAGTTTTTGTCATTATTTTCTTGAAATAATACTAGGGTTTTTGTTTATTTCATTCTTGTTATACATCTTAGATTACTTTACTTCATTAAAGGAAGGCTAATTCACATATGATATGTTTAGATATTTAAAATCAATTAGAAACAATGGTATAATTTATGATCCATGGGATACAACTAATATACTACTATGAGATCGTTTAATATTTCCAACACTATCCCGTTTTGGTATCGCTGCACATACTAAAAGAGTATTGGTAGCATTGACATATGTTAATGAATAAACAGCTGAATGACTTGAATAAATTCCACTACCAAACGCTTGACCATTTGCTGAAGCAATAATAGGTGCTCGGCTATCAGATGGATGAGCTTGACTTGGTATCAAAAACCCATAACGAAGAATACTTTTGATATTATCTGATTTTGTACCATGATAAATTAAATCTGGTGAATAAGAAATATTTTCATTTAACGTTTTCATAAAATCTTTTTGAACAGATTGGTCTATTGGTGCAAGACGAATATCACTTGTACCAATATTAGGATGATCTTGAGAAGACAACTTTATTTTTTGATGATTAATAAGATGGAAATGACGACGAAAGTTTGAAAAACTTTGTAAGTATTTAGCTGCAAGTATTTTCGAGGGGTTCGATGGCACATTTGATTGAAAAAATTGATTGATTGTTTTGATGAATATGTTGATATGTGATTAGATAGAATTGTTGATTTTACATGAAATTTTTTGTCACATTCGAAAATCTTTGACTTTTTCGAAAAACGCTCACAATGAAATGGCTTTCGTTCAGTTTTATATGTTATTTTGTCATTCATACAACTCACTTTAACTGGTTTTGGTTGGGATTTGAGAGCTTTCAATGAGATTGAATGTGAAGACTTCTTGAGTTTTCGTTTACTTTTTCTCGATTTTAAACATTGACCAAGCTCAAATAGATCAATTTGATAATCGATGTCAAAAGAATCTTGATTTGAATTATAATCAAATATATCATAATCATTATCTGACGCCATATTTTGACTGTTCTAATACATAAATGAACATTAATTATTATCAATTTCAGAATTTATACTTCGAGAAAGGTGATATCTACATGCTTGTGAAATTTGTTGTTTATACAATCAAGACTGAACTTTTTTTGAATGATCATTTTTCAAAATTTTTATTTAAAAAAAAAAGACAAATGTGAAAGTTTTATAACGAATTTTAGAATATCATCGTTGAAAAGAGTTTAACATTGAACTGACTGCTTTAGATATATATTATTAAAACAACATTCTATGGTTGTGCTTTTATAATCAACTAAACAGAAAGTTTTATAGAAGCTACTAAGTAAACTGAAAGTAGATACATAGCTAAAGGTGAAGGTGAGCAACAATACATAGAGCTGGCAATTAGATGAGAGTGAAGATTGAGTTTTTAGATCTACAACTCTCTTTTGATAAAGTTAAAATATATTATATGCTACTAATTGATAAGTTCAAATAAGTTTCGGTAGTTTCTCATGTGTTGAACAGTGAGAAATTGATGACGACAAAACTTACCAAATCTGTAGAAACTTGATAATACAATTAGAAGACTAGAAATAAACTATATTCTACTATAAACGTATAAGAAAACAATAGAAGAGAAAGCTTCAGTATACATAGATATAATAAACATTACGAAAGAACAGTAATAAAATTACGAAATTTTTTTGTTTCTTTTATGAAATATGTTGCCATTTGTTTACTAACACATATTTTTGACACAAAAAGGTATTGAGAAATTTCGATTACTTAAATCAACGACGCTTTCCATAAAAGACAATATTCTTAGAAGGAATAATGCATCAGATATAGTAGAAGACTGTAGTCAATGTTAATTGTAAGCTTTTTAAAATTTAAAAATCTTCTTCCGATTCTATCAAATGATTGTTATGACTTGGAAAGTGCTTTTAAGTAAAATTTATGAGAATAAATAAAACACAATAGAACACTCAAGATCTTCTACTAAGGACAGGAGTTCATTTTTCTCGTCTCATGTTTTGCATTTGTTTTTACATGAAACTGAGGCTGATTTCTATACCTTGTCAGTCTATAGCTATTATTAATTTTATACAGAATATGGCACTCAAATGAAGGTAAAGAATGGTTTTATGATATGCTAAGAAAATAATCAAAAGATGAAATAGTTGGTTCACGAGGTTCAAAATCGAGCGGAATCAAGAGAAATACTGTTTTCATTTGAGGACACCGATAAAATCTACATCACTTTATAAATCGTTTTGATCTGTCTGCATTTCTCTTGTCTATTATTACAAAATATATGAAATTTTTAATCATCGATAAGCAATCACTCCTTATTTTTACTATAGTAGATGAGTCGATGTCTTACAATAAAGATTCTCCTCTTAGACATCATGTCATTTCTACTGCCCACTTGAGCAATTAATGAATATGATAGTTCTAATCACTTTGAAGATATTTTTCAAGAATTAAGATGCTAAATTTTGACTTGAAGAAGTGAAATTGCATGAAACACTCATCATGGTTCTTAATTGTTATATATCTATTACAGATAAAACAAACGTATATCATATAGTTTTGAAAGAAAAAATTGAAAACACTTTCGATTGAGTTGAATTTTAAAATTGTTTGATAACCATTGAATTTCTTATTTATTGTCAATGAATTGAAAACGATATTTCGTTGATACACGCAAGAATTACTACCATAGATGTAATTTTGAACAGATGAGTTTTAATATAATAAGCACAAATGACGCGTATTCTCTTTCGTATTTTCCAATAGAAATTGTGTTATTGGTTCTAAACCATTAATGTACGTTTTTATTGTAAGATATTGTTGTCGAGGACATAAAGCAAGAAACATTCTAATTCTTTCGAATGTACGAACATCTTCAAAAGTCACATTTGTAATCTTATTTGTAGTTGAATTGACATATAATCATTTTTATAAAAAGATTCGATTAGTTTTTTTAAAGAGAAATGATAACATTTAAAAACTAGTATAGACAGTTATTCCAAAGGAATAATATGACTGAGAATGTTTGAAATTGAACTATGAGTAATAGAACAATCAGCTCCGAAAGTAAATTTAGTAGCATTTAAAAAATAATTCATGCAACCAATAATTTCTTTTTAATCTTGAATTTGAAAACGAGGATGTGAGTGTGGTTGTGGGATTTTTCGATAGAATTCGAATCGGTGAAGACGCAAGACTATAAATGAATAAGTTTGATAATCGAAGTGAATTCATTCGATAGGCACTGGTTCTGATAATATCTATATACTATTGTTGATAAGCTGATTCAGATATGGATGAAATATTAATATTAATGGAAGAGTTGAATTTATAAGAGGATTACGAAAACTTCATATATATGAAAATAATCGAGAAATTCAAATACTTCATAAATAAGTTCATTAGAAAAATCTGCAAAATATGTGATTGATTTTCTTGATAAACAGTAAAAAGAAAAGAAAATTTAGATTAAAGAATATATTCAAATAACTCATTAATTGTAATTTTCATTTCGTATTTTTTTTATTTTGCTATCATTATAATCATCAAAAAATTTACTTCGTTGACGTCTTATCTAGTCCACGTAGAGATCTAAAATTCTAAAATAGATATAAAATTGTTTAAGAGACGTATAAATAGTGCAATCACATGTTTTTATCAAAGCCAATACACAGAAGAGGAAGACAAAAATTGCAATAGGAACAACAATGACATAAAATGATGCTGCCAGAAAATGAGTCAAAACGAACTATACTACTTACTTTCTTAGTAACATATGACTAATAGATAAAAAAAGAGAACGAATGAAAATAGACACTAAGTAATAGATGCCATATTAAAGAACAACAGAAAAATAATATTGTATTTCGTTTTTGGTTTTGAATTGTAGAAGAATTGAAATTTTCACGCTAAGTCAACAAAATATCTTAAAAATTTCCGTAAATCTACATGATTTATATTCATTAATGAATATCATAACAATAAAATTTCAAAAAGCTTTTTTTTGCTCTGAGTAGATAGTTTTTGAATAACTTTTGATAGAAACAAAAGAACTTTCACAGAGATTGTCAGAAAAGTCACTTAGAGTTTTGACTGTTTTTTAGATCTTTCATGAACGGTTTTAATGCACACCTAACAATGGAAAGTGCGCTGTCAACATCTAACAATTTAGCTTAGTTTTCAAAGATGTCGATTGAAAACATGAAAAATATCAATTCAAAAATGTCTATAACATACCATGCAATGTATTCTGATATTGTCATTCGAACGATCAAAACCGCACCTCTATATCTTGTTTCTATCAAGATTTATTCAAAACAAAATTTTCATTACGTAGGCATTAGTATAACCGTCAGGTAGGATGGATAAAAAAAGTCTTATCGAAATTTTATCATTACGATATTACTTTAAGAATAATGTAATGACACAGAAAAATATAGTGCATTTTACTATCAGATCATATAGAGAAAAAATTTCCTTTAGCTTTTTACAAGGAATTAAAGTACCTTCGTCACTAATTTTGGTATGACCTAAGTTAACTATTTAAAGTTGATTAGGATTATCGAATTTTATTTTATGTGATATTTACTTTGACGATGAAGGTTTGAAAATTTTTTCTATTCTATCAAACATATTCGAAAATCAGGATTCGTCGTCTTCAATAAAAACGGCGTATGACAATATACGCGCGCTTCTAGTTAAGTATTCATTTCAGATACCTCTTTATCTCTATACGAAGAGATAAAAAAGTTTTATAACTAAGTAACTTTTGTTGCTCAGTTTTTAACAAACCTTACACATCAGATAATAAAAAATGAATACTAATTCTATTTAAATATTTTTAATTCTTCCATTTCAATCTTTAACTCATGAACAAACTGAATGTTTTCAAATAGTTTAGAAAATTATAAGAAATGGAGTAAGCAAAAAGCAAGTTTTTCTTAGATACTTTGTCATTGTTTTCTTACAAATGTCAAACAATGTTATCGAATAATAAAAAATAAAAAGATGAAAATAAAAATAAAAATTCTACGTAGTGATAATGAAGTTGGTGTTACAAGCAAAAAAGTCTTGGCCCGCTTAGTGATGACAAAATGAAAAAAAAATGAAGATTTTTTTATATTAATAATTGTCTGTGTACTTCGTTTTGTAAACTATTTGATTAAGTTGCAATTGTTTGAAACAGAGATGACATTGTACGATAATTTATAAATCACACGTAGTGAATAAATGCCGAAACAAAAACAGATAATACTAAACACAATTATTCAGTGATGAAGCTTTTCTTTTAAGCTGGCTTTCTATGACGAAAAAAATGAAAAATAGATTCATCTTTTATGAATTCTTATCTCTCTGTTAGATTTCTGTTCAAGTAAATTTTTATCTATGGTTTCTTCTACTTTCTACATTGAATTTTAATATATAGAATAACCTAAAAGTTATTCTAACAAACTACAAACTTGATTATGTTTTTCATAGGTTGAATAAATCAATAGTTTTTTTTACTACTAAGGAAAAGAGTGATTATAGTTCGTAGTCAAAATAAAAATATTCGAAACTTTCAAGAGAAGGTATTAAGTAGTATATAAACTGTTAGATTTTCTTCCGATTTAAACGCTAAGTATTAGATTTTTGGATGAATGAATTTACTATGATCATGATCATGATCGCGAAAAAATCTCTGGTCACGCATGATCACAATCATGTTCGATCATGCTCGTGAGTTTGACGACTGCACAGTACACTAGAGAACATTATCTCGTATGGTTTTTATCAAGTGTTTTATTGTTAAATATTTACAATACTTGATCTTTCTTTCTTCTATTAAATACAGTTATTGTTATGTTTTAGATTATTTTATTATCAAAGAATGTGTTTCATTTTGCCTATAGGAAGCAATTCTATTAAACAGACTACATTCTATATGTGTTTGGTATTATAAATTCAATTTGGAAATCTATTTTATGTATTTATTATTCAATCATATC